CAGACAGAAATAAGTAAAGAAAGCAATCTTGAAACAAACCGAGACAACAAAATATTGAGATGCGGTCGTCACCTTGCAGGTCAGTGTTTGGGCTGCGTTTCACCACCAGTCTGACCAACATCATCATGGAGTGCAAGGTGCCGTCCCGTGCGAAGAGGCAGGCCGCAAAAGCTCACAGCCTGACGCTTTTGAGCACTTCCTCATTGTTTGTTCCACCAAGGCCAAACGAAGGGTTGCATGTTTGGTGGTTTGTCGAGGTGGCATTCGGTCATTGCTGGGCTGCCAATCCAAAAAGCGCTTGGGCAAGCTTTAAGGCCAGCTGTGACACGTTGATCCCCCCGCTGGGACACTCCAGGTCCCTTCAAAAGGGCACCCAAGACGTGAACTGCGAAATCCCCGATGTTTACAGGCAAGTGGAGACTTTGGGCTTCCAGCACTTGGACTTGGAAGTGACCACACCTCGAGCCACTTGGCAAAGGGTGGTCAAACACACACTGCCTACCAACCTCGGGGTTTGCCATGGGTCTACCCGCCCACTCCAAAACCTGCATGACAATGTGTTGAGGCAAAAGATCAAAGTAGCAATCCCCCAGTCGCCAGAAGTCAAAGGATACGCTCTTATTGTTTCATGTCTGAGAAAGGAATGATATGTTGCATTCCCGTGACTTTTGTGGGGAATGGTGGGGCAGTGGCGGTTTGGCTGCCGGCTCTCAATCACAGGACATCCCTCTTTAGGCCTACAAGCCTGAGGGCTTGGCATTTGTCAGGTGGATATCATCAGGGATGCCATTCTGGGCACACTGGAGTCGGAGCTGGGAGAGAAAGCGAACCCAAGAGGACGGCTTGGCTTGAAGGCCGGAGGGAAGAGCTTCATCCACGTTGCAACATGCACGCATGCCTGCAAACTGCGTGCGGGGGCCCCGCGGTGGCTTGTGCGGGAATTTGTGTTGGGGAGTTGTTGGCTCCTTCTTCGATCTCCTGTTCTTACCATGCAGTCACAAAGTGCCTAATGTTGCTCTGTATTGCTTTCCCAACCCGCTTATCATGTTCAATCATCTGCGGGGGTGCGTGCCATCTCGATCAAGCAGTAGGCTTGCTCAAAAATACGTTTGCTTCAAAGATGCAGTTGTGTGCTTGCAGATATGATTAGATGAGTTGGGTGATGCAAGGGTGCAAATCATTAGCGCCAGTGTTTGGACCGGCGAGGTACTTGAAACACGAACATTGGCTTGTGTTGACATGTTTTTCATGAATATTTTGGATTCAATATACTCGGTGCTTTGCTCGTTTGGCACTCAGGCGCTTCTCAACTACATTGGAGGGGCCTTCATTTTTGTGCATCGAGAATTTGCGGATCGCATAAGGCGCGGGAGGGCACCCGAGAGACCGAGAGAGGACTGAAGCAGATTACACACAGATGGCTTAGGATCATCCAGCGAAGCTGGAAGACGGCGAACGGCGGCCTGGCTGCAACTGCGCGGTTTCCCCCTCTGATTAAAGACGCCCCTGGCCGGCCCCACAAATCAGAAAGATACAAAACTAAATGTTAAAATACTATTTCTATTGCCAGTACTTTTGCCAACGCTAACGCCTTCATAGTCTCAAGGGTTGCCATTCCAGAAATAAATACATAAGAAAGGCTAGCTGTGGACCAAACAGGTCTTATTACAATTCGCTAAAAACGGTTTGACAAGCTCGCAAAACACACCCTTTCTGATAAATCAAGTCCGTCTCCAACCCTGGAAAATACGAAAATGCAATTTCCTTTACTTTGCTGTTGCAATCCTTATTGGCCAGACAGGGGTCAACAAAAGGACCGGAGAGCCTGGCCAGGTCCGGATTAATCCGAGGGAGCCCCAGATGAGCCACAATCAAAACCTGGGTAGATGACGGTTAGTAAGGGGCAGTCCCAGCCGGAAATAGTTGCGGCCGCCTTTCCATTTCTTTACATGGTTCTGGGTTCACCATTTGTGTACCAGGTTTTGATTGTGATTCAGATGACCGGCAAAATCCGGTTTGCCAAAGCTGTCGACCTTGAGGGGGGGGAGCGTTTACTAATCAAGTTCCAAAGGTTGATATTCCCACAGAGCCCGAAGTGCACAGAAGCAGAGCATGTGTAGGAGAGGACACAGAAGGCAAGGAAGTCAACTCCTCGACTGCCAGGAAAAGATGCCGACGCGGTGGTGCAGGATAACAGCATGACATTGGCCACCTTGCAGTCGCAATCTATCGAAGAGACCAACGCCAAGGCCAACAGCGGCCACACAGATTGCTCAAGACAGCTAGGACATAGGAGGGAACAGAGTCCGAAACGTTGCCCTGAATTGGTGTTGTTGAGAGAGGTTGGGGGCACGACTTCCATGGGAGCCGCCTTGGGTGCCTAAACGGACAGCTATTTGTATCTACTCTTGAAGCGCAGCTCTGCCATGCTCTGTCTATGGATTTGTCCCGAAAGCTTGGAAGAAACGCTCCTGTCAGCACAGTTTCGGCCTTCAGGGCGGCGAGGCTGAAGCTGAAGCTGAGATCCAAGACAACGAGGAGATCCAGGAGATTTTGCGAGGCTGCGGCGGCTCGGCACATGTTCAGATCTACTTTGCAAGGGGCCGGGCACTGTTTTTGCCAGTTGTGGTAAACGTAGCATAGTACAAGCTCGAACCCCTTGGCGTGTGTGTGTGTGAGTGTGGGTGTGGGTGTGGGTGTGGGTGTGGGTGTGGGTGTGGGTGTGCGTGTGCGTGTGCGTGTGCGTGTGCGTGTGCGTGTGCGTGTGCGTGTGCGTGTGCGTGTGCGTGTGCGTGCGCGGTGCGCGTGTGTGCGCCTGCGCCTGCGCCTGCGCCTGCGCCTGCGCCTGTGCGTGTGCGCGTGCGTGTGCGTGGGCGTGCGCGTGGGCGTGTGCGTGCGCGTGCGCGTGCGCGTGTGCGTGCGTGTTCGTGGGCGTGGGCGTGGGCGTGGGCGTGCGTGTGCGCGTGCGCGTGGGCGTGGGCGCGTCGGCGCGTGCGTGCGTGCGTTCGTGCGTGCGTGCGTGCGTGCGTGGGTGGGTGGGTGGGTGGGTGTGTGTGTGTGTGTGTGTGTTTTAGAGACTGACTTTTGCTAAGGTGACAGAGCTGAGGCGCCTGGATCCCAGGCAAGGAGCATCCTGAGCGTTGTGTTCCATAGCACTAGGCCACTAGGAATCAGTACTGCTGTTGCCCAATTTCTAGTGTGGCTCCCTTCAAACAAGTGGAGAGACAAAACAACGGGGCATACGATCCCTGAATTTGGGTTAGTCTTTGAGTTTAGCAGGCCTCAGCTTGGTCAAATTTCGAAAAAGATGCGGCCGCGCAAAACTGAAGTGTTTACAAGATCCGCGCCAGGCGGATTTGCATTTTAAGCAGTTTGATGGCTCGTTGCTTGAGAACAGCTTTACAGGCCACGTGTCCTTTGTGTAAGGGACTCGGAACATCCTGTGCAAGTCATGCGCAACGCGATGCGCAAGTGCCAGATTTTGTGAGCTGCCCTTCAAGCCCCTGCGTCTTGCTTGCCAAGCAACTTGCTCGCCTTGCTTGCTCTGCCTATCTCTACCTGGCCCTGTTTGTTCCCACAGTCGGTTGTGGAGCCTTGCCTTGCCGCTACTCTAGATGCATGCCCACGCTGTGTACATTTGCATACTCATGAGCTCTCAGGCAGACACATGCTGCACATACGCATTAGCTAGTTGTGAGGTTCCACTTCTGAGGCCCCAACAAAACCACACAACTTTGCCGCTTGGAATTCGACACGTTTGAGTGTAGGATAAGAGCATGGACACCGGGTTTTCGTTTCCCCTCCAATGCAGTTGTCAGTTTCCCGGCCAAGCTGTTGCTCTTTGGAACACCTCCAACAACGTTTGATCCGCAGCTTGGTTTGGTATCGGACTGTTTGCGCCTCCGGGACATGCTCCAGGGCGCCTGGAAACGTGAATCTCAAGTATAGAAGTCGGGAACAAAGATTCCGCTATAGAATAACAGTTTCTGGCAAGTTGCAAATGCTTAGAAAGGTTTCCTGTCAAGTTGCCAGGATTGCTTGATGAACACGATAGATATGGCAGAACGCCTGCGCATATTCCTTTTTGATGAGATGTCATCCAAATCGTTTGCTGTGAGGAAGGCAACACATGCTTGTCTCAGACAATGCCTAGTTTCAGGGGCTGCATGTGGGTGCGCTTCAGAAAGAGCTGGGCTTCGGAAAAACACAGTGCAGAGTTCCTCACGTTACAATCAACAGCGATGTTGAAGTTTGAGGACCCGCCCTCACAACGCAAGGAGTGTCCTTTGAATAACTATCGAAGATGTTCAAAATGACCGGCATTGAGTTGGAGCATGTGTGCCTAGCCTGGAAATAGGCTGCCGGATAGACCAGCACCTGTCCGCCGCAGTCAAGGGAGAGTTGTGGTACCAATCGTCTTGGAGGGGGACTTTCGCGTGTTTACCACATGGATTACAGGTTCAACAAGTGAGAGTCGTCCGAAAGGTCGTTGTATTCAGCTATGAAGGGGAAGACCTTTTGGTCTTAGCGTTGACCTTCGCGAAAGTTCCGCGAAGGGGGTCGCGAAAGTTAATTGTTTTTTCCGCGAAAGTTGTGTGTGGCTTGCAAACAGGAAGCTGGAGTGATGAACCATGTGTATTTACCGGCAGTGCGCGCAGAATGCCCGCAGACTAAAGTTGGTCGGAGAATGCGTAGTCTGAGGGTCGCCGCAAGAATACGCCGCTGCAACAGCAACCCCCAGCCAGCAGAAACCAGCTTCTGGGAGGTTTGAAGCTGTCGGGGCAAGCTGAGCGCAACTTCCAGCCGGATTTTCGCGAATGTTTGGCGTAAGATCCGCGAAAGTTTCGCGAAAGTCGACGGACCTCCCCGCCAGTTTCCGGACATGAGGCCAACGGGCCTTCTCATGCGCAGCTTGCGGCTTGTGAGCTGGAGCTGCGGAAGCGCGGAAGCGCGCTTCGAGTGCTACTTTGGAACTGAAAGGTCGCGACTTTCGAGCTGGGCTGCGGAAGTTCACTTTGTGTACTACTTTCGTGTTGAAAAGTTCTGACTTTCGAGGCTGAGGAAGTTTAGTCGTGTACTACTTTCGTATTCAAGCCGGGCTGCGGAAGTTTACTTTTAGTACTACTTTCGCACTGAAGAGCTGCGACTTTCGAGATGGGGCTGCGAAAGTGTACTTCGTGTACTACTTTTGTGATGAATGTTCTGAAAACAGCCCCGCGAAAGTTCCGCGATGGGGTCCGCGAAAGTTAATTTTTTTCTCGCGAAGATGGCGGTTTCCGGAACAAGGAATTTCAGACAACCGTCAAGTGAGTAAAAAACGTTTTCAAGGAAAATTGAAAGCCGCCGGCCAGCATACCTTGCAACTGTCAAGTCTAAGTGTTTCAAGACGCTTCAAAAAGCTTTAGTCGCGCTTTTTGCGGAATTCCGATTCCGAGGAAGCTGTTCCTGCAAGTATTGTTCTTTATATAAAGAACATCTCTTCGAGGTAGTTTGGCCAGAATCGGGAAAACGGTAAATCTTTGAGAGGGGGCACGCACTGTACTTGGATAGATGCTGGAATTACAGACTTCGGACTCATCTGTCAATACTAAAGCATATATATATATATGTATACATATATATATAGAGATATGTACATATGATGTATGCGTACATATATATATATATGTATATATATATATATGTATATTGCAGTGCCATAGCGTTTGTGCATCCCTTATGTCCTGGCATGATCTTTGCAGATGCCAACCACCTTCAGCGACATGTTTCTCTTCAATGCCTCAGTAATGGGGTACGGTGAGAGCAGCCTGGCAGATTAGCCCTTCAGATCCAGGCTTTGCTTCAGGCGGTCCAAAAATACATTCTGCACCTTTCTTGCCGTAACGGTCGATCCTGGCCCTGACAACTACCTCTTATAAGCCTGTTTACCTTGAATAGCCTTGCGACTGCTGGCGAAAACCTGGAAGCAGCTTGGAGGAAGAAGAGCCTGTGCTGTGCTCTTCGCAGCATGTTTTCGAACGGCCGGAAAACGGGTATTGCTCAGAAGCACTGGGACAAAACTAAGGCAAGTGGATGCGGCTAATATTGCAACACCTGGATGACATAGCTACCAATGTGGCCAACACTTACCGGCTCCAGGCAGGCATCGCGTCATTTGTTTGGAGGTTGGGGGAACCCAGGCTGTGCGAATTAACAACTGTTCAGCACTCAGAAAGAAAAGGATAGCGCCTTTGGAGGGAGGGCACACTCCCAACTCCTGTGGAGAAGCTCTCCCATGAACACGTAGAATGCGGTGAAGTAAGATGAAGCAGCAAGCCCTCCGAGCTTGCATAGCATTTTTGGGATTTCAACGAGCGCAGAAGCAGCTTGTCAGTTGCTTTCTCTGGCGTTTTGGGAACAGCCGCCAGGGCAGTCCTTGATATTGTACGATCGGCAAGATTTGATTATGGTCAGCGACGAAGAGAAGCTAGTTCCATTGAAGACCTGCAACGCTGGTCGTTTGTTTTGCTTTCCAACATGTCTGCAGGAAGAGTGTGATGTGCTCTCGGTGGTGCTGGGCAAGTACAAGGCGGCGCCTGAAATGCTCACACACACAACATTACATGTTATATCCATGTATACATACGCAAAGCCCCCGCGGGCCCACCTCTTTAGTAATCACAGGCTATGTGTTGCAGTTGTTTCAAGGGGGGAGTGAGCATGCATATATATGGTACAGCGTTGCAAGTCCCCCCCCCCCCAGTGGTCATGGGTCAGACAAGTACCCCCTGTGGTTGGTGGTTGTGGTCCTGTGAACCAGTGGTTGGGTTGTGGTGGTTTAGGGTTGGTTTAGAATTGGTTTAGGGTTGGTTTAGGTTCAGAGGTGTACGGTTTAGGGTTTGGTTTAGGGTTTTTTGGTTTAGGGTGTATGTAGGGTTGGTTTAGGGTTAGTTTAGGGTTTGTTTAGGGTTGATTTATGTTGATTTAGGGTTGGTTTTGGGTTGATTTGAATTCAGAGGTGTACGGTTTAGGGTTTGGTTTAGGGTTTTTTGGTTTAGGGTGTATGTAGGGTTGGTTTAGGGTTAGTTTAGGGTTGGTTTAGGGTCGGTTTAGGGTTGGTTTAGGTTTAGGGTTTGTTGTTTAGGGATTGGTTTAGGGTGTATTTGGGGTGAGTTTAGGGTTGGTTTAGGGTTAGTTTAGGGTTGGTTTATGGTTGGTTTATGTTGATTTAGGGTTGGTTTAGGTTTAGAGGTCTACGGTTTAGGGTTAGTTTAGGGTTGGTTTATGGTTGGTTGCGGGTTGGCTTGTCCTGGGGGCAGGGGTGCCGGGGTGTGGGGTGCGAGTTCAGGGGGTCGGGGTGGGGTGGGACCGTGGCTGCCAGGATCCGGGGTCTCGGGGTCTCGGGCCGGGGGGTTGAACCCATACCATCCGGGGGGGGGGTAGCAACACGGATCACGGGACCATATATATATATATATATATAGCATGGCTCCTGCCTTTTTGTATACACTACCTGAAACAAGAAGCCCGCCAAAACTTGAAGTGAATTCTGAAGGCTTTCCTGGATCTCTCAGTCAACTTGTTTGAGATTATTCTATCCAAACAACTTTGAAGTTGTTGGGCGAACTCCCAGAGTCTTCCTGGGCTGCTGTTTTGCGCGTGTGGTTTTCGTCCCTGCGCACGTTTTGGAGTTGTTTGAGGTCAATTCTTCTGTTGTTCGTCCCTGCGCATGTTTTAATGCTTGTTTGAGTCAAAGTATTGATTTGTGTGTGTCCATGTGCATCTTTGGAGCCTAGCGCTGCCCAGCACTACATCTGTGCGTTTGTGTTTCTTTTTTTCCTTTATTCCCTACTGTCTTTTCTGTAATTGTCATTATTCCTGTTTTTGTTTCTGTTTTGTTTTTCTGTACTTGTTCTTTCTGTCTGTCTTTCTTTCCTGCCTTCCTGCCTTCCTGCCTTCCTGCCTTCCTGCCTTCCTGCCTTCCTGCCTTCCTGCCTTCCTGCCTTCCTGCCTTCCTGCCTTCCTGCCTGCCTGCCTGCCTGCCTTCCTTCCTTCCTTCCTTCCTTCCTTCCTTCCTTCCTTCCTGCCTTCCTGTCCATTTTTTTCTCGCTCTCTCTCTCTCTCTCTCTCTCTGTCTCTCTTTCTCTCTCTCTCTAATAGTGCAATATTCAAATCTATACAGTTGCTTATACTATAGCCATTTCTTGGTAAAACAAGGCATTTGTTCAGAGTGTTTGTTTACGTTTGTTGACACTGCCAACTTCAAATCAAAATTAGATTATGTGTTTGGTTTATAGTGTGTGTATGTTTAGTTAATTTGTCAAAGATTGTTCAGCAGAATTGTCAGCACAAAGGCTCAAAACACGTGTTTAACAAAACAAGTCAAAAATAACAGGGTTCAGGCGCACCACGCAAGTATGCGAATGGCAGCAACAGAAACATGATTAGTAGAAGGTGGGCCCTTGGGGCGGGGTGACCGTACAGAAATGTATATATATATATATATACACACATATATGGTGACCTCCCCCCCACCATGAACTACGTTTGTTGCTGCGCATAACAAAAAAGTGCTTCGCTTTTTGCAAAACCCTTAGTTTTTGCAAGGCCCTAAAATATGTAAGGTGTTTTCAGTAATTGTCTAGTTTAAGATCATCCATATGCCAACAAGCAGAGAACAAAAACCACAACTCTGAGGACGAGTGTTGGTTTTGTCAAAAGTGTTGCTTCGTTGGGTGTCTCAAGTGTTTTATGTTTGTTCCCAGAGTGTTGTTTAAGTAAAACACAAACGGCTGGATGGTTTTTGGATTTTCAAAATTATTGAGGGGAAGCCGCAAAAGAAAGCCCGAGAAAACCAAATCACAACTCTGAGGACAAGTTTTGGTTTTGCCAAAAGTTTGGTTTGTTTGTTTGGCTCGAGGTTTTGTTGTTTTGGTTGCCCCTCATTTTTCTGTTTGAGAGAACCACAGAAACTATGGTTTTGATAGGAAACCATGAAAAGAACACGAGAAAGCCAAAAACATCGGGTTGTTTGGCTTTTACTAAAACGAACCCTGAGGAAAAACAAAAACACGCAACTCGAGAAACCAAAAACAACTGTTGGCACAACCACATCTTGGCCTCAGAGTTTTGTTGTTTTGGTTTTGTCAAGGTTGTTGTCTTCGTGGTGTCCTCAGTTTGTTGTGTTTTTGAAGTGCATCACGACAATTCCAAGCATGAAGAGACCGAGCTTTAGAATAGTTGGAATGTAATTAGATTTATTAAGGGCAAACTCGAATTAGATGTCCTGTTTTTCAAGTCTTGACTCAGGCGGTTATAAAGCTGCTGTAAAGGCTCCTGGTAAAGCTCCTTGCAAAGCTCCTAACAAGGCTCCTTGCGAAGCTGATTGTAAGACTCCTAAGACAAGGCTCCTTAGTGAAAAGGCTCTTAATGAAAACGCTCCGTATAAGGCTCCTTATGCAACTCCTTGTCAAGCTGCTGGCAAAGCTCCCTGTCCAGCCTGTGAAGCTCACTGGTAAAATTGCTCATAAGACTCCTTAAAGGGCTCTTCATAAAGCTCTTTGTAAAGTTGAGACTAAAGCTAAGTATAACGCTCCTTAAACTAGTCCTTATAAGCATCCTTATCAGGCTTTGTTTAAGGCTTCTTAAAAGGCTCCTTCTACAATTCCTTGCAAAGATGCTTGCATTTTTTTGCAAAACTCATTGTAAAATTGCGAAAAGGCTTCTTGAGAAGCTGTGTATAAGGCTCCTTTTCCAGCGAAGGCTCCTCATACTAAATTGGATTATGATTGAAGTTGTTTAGTTAAAATGTCAATGGAATTTAGCAAGCAAAAAACCAAATATGACTTCTGTTTAAAACAAATTCAAACGGGAATTCCCTCCCACGTATGATGTTAAACTACCATGAACTAGTAGAATATTCATAGACTTTAATAAGGAAAGAGTTCCACTATACTGTTTATCTTCAATTATAATTTAAAAAGATCATCCATTGCGCGAAGAGGAATTCAGAAGGGACGAATTCAATTGTAGTTACTCTGTCAGTTAGAACTTAAATGAGAACTCTGTTTAATTAGGTATTCGAATAAAGTTGAATAAATGTTGAATTAGATGTTTGATGGATCTGAAGAAGCATATAATTGAGTTTGAATATCTGTGGTGATTTAGGATTTAAGTAAGAGTTGTTTTGCAAATACAATTTAAATTCAAGATAATTGCAAAATAAATCGACGTTTGATGTCTATTTCGAACTAGAATTTATGCAGGAAGTCCTTTCCAAATATTTTTTATCAAAGTGAATTGCAGTTCAATTGGAGTTTGATGAGTCCGCACATAAGTTTCAGCATTTTGTCTACAACATATGCTACAAGCGTAGTTCTCGGGAGGAGGGCTGAGAGTACACCTATATGTATATGTATATACACATCACATACACATGCACACATAAACCAATATCACATACATGCATAGACACATAGATAGATAGGTAGGTAGGTAGGTAGGTAGAAAGATATACGAACATATATCTATCAGACAACGCCTGACAATGCAAGGAGCAAGCATATTCGAGGTTTGGGTCGTTGGGCACAGGGTGAGTGAGAAAGCGTCGAGCAAAAGCACAGTGCGGACAGGGCCAGATCAATCTCGTGGAGTTCAAGGCTGTGATGCTGGCGTCCCTGCGCTCCGTCGTGCCCAAAGATTGGGCACCTCAGCAAATATGAGCCCCTGTAGGTCAAAAAAATATAGACACATGTGTCATGTTCCACTCATAAGCTATCGTCAAACCATTGGCAGAAGCAGGCCTCAGAATCTGGTGCCAAAACCGATTTCCAAACAACCAAATACTACACAGACCAATACCAATTGCAGTCGACAGCGGCCCATGTGATACAGTGCTTGCGCCGCATCTCAAGAAGGATCGGGATCAGCGCCGAACGCGTATGGAATTTTGATGGTTCACCACTTGAACCAGCCCTGACTCACTGCCTTGAGTGTGTGGGATTTCTGAGGACATGAACCACGAAGTGGCCTGGAATTGGCTCTGGGAGAACGTCGAGCGGATGCTAAAAGAAATGATGGGAATTCCCTTGACCTACGAGAAGGCGTTGCGGAACTGGATTCTGGACCTCCCCGAGGACTGCGATGTTGTCTTGTGTGCTGAGGATTTTTGGATTTGTTCAGACCGGGCTCGGGTGGCACTGGCATGGGATGCCATGGGAGGCCAAGCAAAATTATCGCCTGCCAGAGCACGCTACAGCTTTTGCAGGATGTAAAGCTCACCTGGCGCAAGCAGCTCTACAAGAAGTTCTTTGAGAACGCCCCGAGCGCACAAGACTTCCTCAAGCAGTCCACTGGACGGCTGCACTTTATTGCTGATCGAATTTTAGCTGCTTGGATCTGAAGGGCTGAATATGGCTGAATTGAATGTTTGAGTCACGCACGTGTGTTTTTCATCTTTAAGTTGACAGCTGGCGGAGCCAGTCGCCAGTAGCGACAATAAGGCGGAGCTGTACATGTTCATCAGAGTGCAGCAAGCATGCCTGAGTGCTGGCAAAGGGCTTGTCATTGTAAGTATGTTGGTTTCACGTCTCAAGGCTCCTGCGGGCGAACTGCAAGTTGACTGTGAATTCCCTAGCAGCACAGCCATGTCGCCTGTGAATCCAAAGCATATTTCGCAAAATGTCACGAGTGGAGCGCGCGAACTCTCGGAGTGCTGGCACGTCAGATCCCTACCATTTATAGTTGCCAAAAAACAGTTTCCGTGCGACAGCGCTGACCAAGGAGCTGCAGCCATTCTGACCTTAACTTCTGAACATAACAGGGAGTCACAATGGGTCCGATTGAGATATTTATGCAAGCATTTGATTTGTTGCATTATGATTATCATTATTATTATTATTGATATTAATAGTACTACTTATATGTATACATGTATATATACATACGGAAACAGTAGTACAACCTGGCGAAGGTTCATTTGCTGGCAAAAGTTTGAAGGGACTTGTCAAGGGCGGTCAGCTTTGCAGACTGGGCATGCTAGGCATTGAACTATTCCAAGCCTTCCTTTGAAATGTGGTGGTCTTGGTGCTGTTGTGTGATAGCGCTGCAGTAGTAGTAGGATGCGTGAGCAATACTGGATGGCCACTCTTGACCTCAGTGTAGAATTGAAAAGAGAAACCCCCAGTCCCGCTCTCCTCTCTTTCACTTGGCTAGCCCAGTTGTCAAGATGTGTGAGCTTCTACAGTTTGTGACAGAGAAGGAGGTGGAGGAGCTCCTGACAAACACAAAGGAGGAGTTGGGCTCCCTGTTCAACAGGTCACCCGCCCGAGCGGTTGTCCGCATCTTGGGGGCTTTATTGCGACAAAGCCGCAGCTGCGGAGGAGAAGGCGTGGCAGGTTGCAAGGGGGTTCTGGCTGGGTACTGCGTGGTTGAGTGAGCGGCTTGAGTGGTTCGCGCAAGGCAGTGGGTTTGGTGGTGGGGAGAGAGCCTTCCGCCGACAAAAGAGCGACATCAAGTAGCTAGCTGCGCGCACAGGCAAGCGAAAGCTGCCGCAGTCTACGAGGGCGGCGGCCAACCCTGGCCAAGGTGCGTCGACGCATCTTGGTGCGGGAGGAGGCCCTCACTTCCACAAGCGCTAGATGTTCCCACCACGGCGGAAAGGCAGGAGCCGGAGCCCTTGAAAGAGATCTTTTGGAGCACGTGGCGCACAAGCATAGCAGCCACAAAGGGCGAGCAGCCCATGTTCGGCAAAGTCTCGTCCATCGCGGACGCACGGAATCCGAAGTGGACGGGAGCTTCGTCTTCGTGGATGACTTGCTCGAAACGTTGATGCTCTGGCGAGGGCCGCCTTGGGCAGCGCTTCTCGCGACCCTTCTGGCCTCACGGCCTCCTTCAGCTTTAAAGAAGAAGACTCTCTTCTCTGAGGTCAAGTTGCTCACGGAGGCTCGCGGCGAGACAGTTTTGGGGCCGCTTCCACCAAACTACGGCGGCTTGCCCTGGCAAATCACTCCTACCGGCGCCCCGAAGCTGGCTCGCGCGTTGGCCTTCCTCCTTCCGGCTCTTCGATGTGCGCTGGCAAGCGCGGTCCGCAGAAGTCAGAAGTATGGCGGTTGCGCTTCAAGAGGGCCCTAAAAAAAAATCTGCCTAGGAGGGAGAAGCAGGCCGTGCTAGCATGGCATCTGCGACAAAACAAGGCAGTGGGCAGATGGACTGACCCACCCTGGCTTTGCAGGTTTTGAGTGTCTTTCAGTGACTCCACCCAAAATCCCGTGATCGCCCCTTGGCGCAGGTGCCCCGCTGAATCAGAAGAATCAACAGGCGCAGCGTGGGCCGATCTCGGCAAATCAAATCCGCTGGCGTCAAACGATGCAAGGAGTACGCAGTAAGTTTCCGTAGTGGTCAATGCGGGTTCCAGTTTGCTCGCGCTGTTATCCAGGCTTACAACTGTAAGAGAACAGACCGAGCGTGAAGAATGCTTGCCCTCTCTCCTTGATGGTTCACGGGGAAGCGCGAAAGGCAGGCGGATGCTGAACAAACAGCGGAGCCCGCTCACACGCTCTTCTGCTTGCGGGAGCATGCCGTTGCAAGATGCAGGAAAATTGGCCAAACCTTGGCCTTGCTGCCAGCGCTGGCGCATGGGGCTGTAGAAGAACACGGTTTCTTACCGTTCGTGCCGGAACTGCCCGACGTGTATTTGTGTACTGTGCTTATTGCCGATAGCAACGTTCGAGCCGGAACTTGTGAAGTGTACTGATTCTTTTCGTTTTACCTCGAAAAGCCCTGGTGGTGCTGGTACTCATGCATTATCTAGATCAAAACTCGGGATGCTGGCAAGGAGACCCTGCTGCAACAGTAGGGTTGTATCGGCTTCTGAGCAAAACTGCATGATCCAAAACGTACGTTTTTTCACATGCCCAGCATGCGCGATTGCCTTCAGAAGTGTCCTTTCCTTGTACCCGGTGAGCCTGGGGCGTGAACCTGTCCTTCGTTCCTTGGGGTTCCTGAAAAGGCTCTTTCCTTTTGACGAATAAAGCCCGTTCCCCCTTGTCGTGTGAGAAGTCACCAAATAAAAGCCAGTGTTTGAACAGGGCTCCTTAAAAGTTTCATTTTGCCCATTTGAAACATGGTTTTTTACCACCAAAAAAAAGGGAAACCACCATTCACAAGGCAATGCTCAGGAGTATAATGTAAGGATCCTATTGAAGCCCAAGGCAATGACCCTGGACATGTACTGTGCGCCTCGGCACATGGTGGACGACGTCTCCGCTTTGGGCCTCCGGCATGTGGGATATGGCGTGCCCACGGAGTTGTTCTCACCCCACGTCGCCGCCTGTGTGGAGGCCGTGCGTGAGGTCCAGCCCTGAAAGGCTGAGACCGGATGGTCGGCCCACAAGTTCCCCAAATCGGTCCTGATTGCAAGTTGGTACGACTGCAAACCCGTATGAATCAGCAGCACTCAGACGGCTTCACGTTCCAACCTGGAACAGGTGTTTTTTTTCCGGTTTTGCTGTGAGTCCAGACCCACCGTGCAGCGCAGGCTGTCGCGGAGTGCCAGAGTCTTGACAATTCCACGCATGTGGATGCTTTTCGTTGGTCGCTAACGCTGATCTCCAAAATGCTGGTGCGGGTCATTGTGGAGGGACTCTCGGGCTGCAGGGTTCTATTTGGTGAAGGCTGTCCAGGCTTTTTGTTTTTCTCGCTTACGCCAATCTGGCTTGCAAATTCACTGTTTGCAGGTGCGTGTGTGTGTGTGTGTGTGCGCGCGGTCTCTTCCTGCGCTTGGTGCAAGGCTCTACATTGGTGATGAAAGCCATCAACACAAACCAGGAGGCATCGCTCAAGAAGGCGAGATCCATATTCATGGGCTGTCAGTCAAGTTGCGACAGCTCACGCAATATCACTTGATGGTTGCGGCTGCGGAGCTAGGCGGTCGCCTTGGCGCCCCGCGTGGAGCGGGCCGATGTGCTGCTGAACATAACCTGCGGGACGCAGTCCATCTCCCCGCTGCAGCTTGGCACATGGAACCCGACCACTCCAAGTTCAAACACGTGTAGCTATTGCAGTTTATTGAAGCCACTACTTCAGAGCAGTGTATGTTGTTGAAGACTTCAACCGACAGACCTGTTTGCATTTTTTTAGGCCCATTGGCTGTGAATGAAGCGCAGGCAACACTGTTTCACGAGGGTTGTGTACGCAAACATCAGAATTCGGACCCATCCGAAAGGCATGTTGCTTTCAGGGAGCCTGACACACTAGCATTTTGGGTGGTGGGAATCGAGTTGGACGTATTGAAAGACGTTGCAGCAAACACTTTGCTCGCTCGACAGCTCTCCTCTTGATGCCCGGTTGATGCATGAGTTCTAGGTGCATAGGCTACACCTAATGCAAGCCCATGACGTCAACCCTGCACACAGCACCTAGGTACTGGGCCATTGACAGTGGCAGCCTGAGGTGCGCAAGAGCCATCATTGAGGAGCTGAGAGCTGATTCTCGTAATGCTTTCGAGCTTACTCAGTACTGGGGATGTGCTTACGTAGATTTACGAACCTAAAATGTACATCGCCATGTCGCATACAACGTTGGACACGTTTTTTGGTGCGTGTGTGTGCACTTGCCCGAAATTGAGGCTGCCTCTTGTGTTTGGTTTGTCTCAGCCACGTGAGTCGCGAGGACCTGCTCACAATCCGAGCTGACCGCGACGTTTACTACTATGGTTGTGATGCACTCTTTACGAGGCATCCCGATCTCATCCACCAGATGTGCCTCAGCGCCTCGCCTGCACGGCGCTGGACTCTCACGCCAGCCCGACGGCCAGCGAGCTGCATGCTGCAAGATGCTGCAAGATGCTGCAAGATGCTGCAAGATGCTGCAAGCGTGTTTGAGGCGCACCAAGCCTACTGGAGCCTCTCCTCGACGGCTTGGTTTGGCGTTCTCGGAGCACCAACGAGGGCAGGCGGCGCGTCAACTACTATGTGAAGCACCTGGTGCAGGCTGGTGGCAAGTTCTAGCCATGAGTAGTACTTATTGAGTACTCAATGCTCTTTTGTTGCTGAAGGGGCAACAATACTGTGCGATTCTGACTGTTTGGAATAAGTCGGCTGAACGAATTTTGCTCGTTTTCTTCGGATCAGTATTGTTTCTACTTAGAGACTTGGATGTGATTTCAACTGGTGGGAAAACTGCTGCATGGTGGATGCCCTGCAATGCCATGCAATGAAGACAGCAACTGTGGCTCCAACCTTCGACTTGCCACAAATCACTTGGACGTTCTCTCCAGGACCTCGATGGCCATTTCAGCGAGACCTTGAGCTGGCTTGTCGAGTTTCAGGCACGGATATCGCCTTTTGAAGGGTGCACGCAGCCATGTCGTGGGCAAGCGTTTATCTTTCCAACGAAAGCAGTAGTAAATTAGCTAGCCGACGACTGCCAACTCAAAGCACCCTTTGGCATGGGTTGCGACAAAAGCTAGCATTGAGTATGTGTTACACATACAACGCCTGCTTGCATTTGCCCCATGAAATGCGTCTAGTTTCTTCCTTTCTTGACAGCGTACAACATACTTGCACACTTTAAACCCCTGGCATTTGAAACAAAAAGGGATCGCTGGAGATCTACCCTTGCATCACATCTCTGGCCACTCGCTGGCCAGGACCCTCACGTTGTGAGCCACCCAGCTGCAACCCTGGCAGCTGACATTGTCTGGTTTCGGTTCGCCGTCTTCTATTTCTTGCGAGGAGCTGCATAAAGTGGAATCGAGCAACAGATTCGTGCAACAGAGATTCTGTTTCGAACGACACCTGGAAAGTAAATTCCCCGGCTTCTGGAAAATCCTGCCTGCTCGGGTGTCGCGACTCATGAGTGGGGTGTGGCTGGGTGGTCAGGACGCTGCTACTTACTTTTCACCCTTTGCATCTTCATCGCCGGCCAAGCCGTGTTGGGGAAGCATGCCGGCCTCGAGACCTTCCAGGATTCACTCGTGCTGCATTGGAGCACACTGTGGCGGGGTGCAACATAGAATGTGACAGACTTTTTGTAATCAGAGTACGCACATGGAAACGCACCCCGCTACTTTCCAGATCCAACCTTGACAGGAGAATATTGCAATTTTCTGCTGCCGCTGCTTTCTCTACTTTGGAAGCATGTGTGTGTTGATTTACAATCAGGTCAAGCCGCTTGTCAGCACAGTCGATGCGTGCAGACAACGCTTGTTGAGGCACCTTTGACAGCAGTATTTGCCCTGTATGCTGAGAAGAGTGAAATTGTAGGGCAGCTTGGCAAGGCTGGCCTACCTTGACATCAAGCGGGGGGCCATCGATCGATCATACATTTTTCCAATCCCCGAGTATCTCTTCAATGTCCAGCAGGTTTTGGACTCAGATTGGCTTTGCGCTGTGACAGGCCTCTGATGATTAAAAGGCCCTCCGGAGTGACATTCCTGCTTCATATTGCCCTGCATTGACTTGTGGCTAGCCCTTTGCAATGCAGAAATACAGCTTTGGCCCAGCAATGCCTAGCATGAAAGTCGTGGTGCAACACCCGACTTTGCTGAGGCTTTATACATGTCTTTGGTATTGGCATTGGTCATAATGCTCCTTGGCTGTCAATAGTATGATTGCTATGCTACGTACCATTCCACGTATGGCCAACAAGACACACTGGCGCCCAGTTGGCTTGCCAGCCAAATGACACGCGCATCGGTATGTTGTTATATTTGGTTCTATTTGGTTTGTGTTTTGTATTGTGTTTATTGTGTAGCAGACTTGCGGCTGCTCCTCCTGAGGTTCTTCCTGGAGCCCATCCTTTGGTGCATAAAGCAATCTTCTGCTCTGGGCTCCTCCATGGGCGCCAATGGCACCTACATCTTCACAGAGAACTGCCCCGAAGCGCAGGCGTGCGTCGGGGCTGGAGGATCTTTGCTCTTGTACTTCAGTAGCGGCCAGGCAGCTCCTGCATATTGATACATGTGTGTGCGTGATTGCATTTGTGCTAGGCACGGGCATGTCTTGTCATTCCCACAAACAAAACAGCTTTCAGCATGCACCGGCTTTGTGAGGGCATGTCAGGACCTGCTGAGGGCTTGTGCCATACCATTCGCAAAAGAACTTGCTAGTCGGTAGAAAACTCTGCAGATCACCTGGCCAGCCGAAGCCGCTTGCCTGGCTCAGGACAAGGGCGCCTACAGCATCTTTTCCTGTTTGGCCATGCTGCTCTACTGGGCGTTGCTGGTGGACTTTGCAGCCCCTTGGCCAACAACCTGATCCTCAGCTGGCAGATTTGCCGCAGCCAAAGCAGCAATTTGTGCGGGCAGCGCGTGCGAGCGCGTGTTTTTAGGACATGGATGGTTCAAGCTTTCCCCATAAATTGCCACGTGTCCGGGGGGTGCCAGTGCCAAGCTTGACTGTAAAAGTGAAGGTCTTGTCCTCGATAGAGTTTTGCTTGCATGGATATATTTCCTGTTTACTGGTAGGCGCGGGCTCGTGTGGGATGGATGGAGGGAGGCGAGAGTTCTAAGCTTGATGTTCTTCCCTTTCAAAAACTGAGGCTCGTGCAATGCCTGATGATAATTTAGGGTCTGGTGGAGGGGGCCATGTTGTTGCTGAAGTGGAGCATCCCCCCCTGGCGACTCCAATCCTCCAATGTTACCGCCCATCTTCGATCATTCCTTGCCGGTGTTTCCTCTTTTTGTTCTCCATCGCTCTTGTTGTTTCTTCTTTTCAGTCATGATACTTGCACTATCTTGCACATCTTGTGTTTGTTTCAGCTTCGCTGCTGTCAAGTCTTGCTGAAGCTGGAAGCCTCGTGTGCTAACATGGCATTCCTGTTTGGTTGGAGCTGAACTCGCCAGGTCATCTCAATGCGCGTCTCTGCCTTTGTCCTGGTTTGCGGCCGGGTGATCTCCGAGGCGAGGCCCTGTGGAAACTTATTGGAAACTTGTCCGTTTCTTGAGGTTCAAAGCAAACTGGAAACCGACATGTCCAAGAGGGCAGGCCTATTGTGGGTCCCAATGTGGCCTTTGGCCTTTGGCTTAGAGAATCTTTGCAATTCATGACCAGGTTGGCCTCAACAAATTCTGGTTATGTGCTTGGCGGCCTTTTGGCTAAGCGAGGGCACTTCCTTTTCAGGCTGCCGCGACTGATAAATTGCTTTGGCAGGGGAGTGACCCGATGGCTCCTGCCAACTTCAAGTGAGTGTATGCCGGCCTCGCAATCGCAAAGATCTAATGACAGCCACCAGCAAATCAGACTCAAAGTTACAACGTGGCGAACCATGGCCACGTTGGATTGATGTAGCCAAAACGCACGGTCCTACTTTGGGGCTTTCTTGTTCTGAGAGAATTCGTGAGGTGGCGCTTTTTGGCTCTGCCGTGGGATTCCTGGTTGTGGCCTTCTCTACAGCCATCAACACCCTGAACCATCACCTGCTGCTTGGGCAAAAGGCTAAGTGTGCACACTTCCAACATTCAAAAAAAGCACAAACTGTTGGCAGAAAGGGATGGTCGGATTTGGGACCCTGGCAAAAATGGCGACCAAGAGGGAACGCAGCTCATAATGTTTGAGATTCATTGCTGAAGTTCCGTACGGAAATCCATGCTACGCTCGATTATGGTTGAGACTGACTTCACTTAGGCTAGAGTTCGACGGCGTTCAGAAATGGCTGTATGCATTGCTGCAGATGGCTTTAGGTGGCCTGGCGCTGCTTTCGACCTAGCATGTTCTCCTTCTCGGGATGACATGTGAAGCATTGCTGAGTCAATGACATGTCATAGAGATTTGGCATTCCGCTTGTCGAGTTATACACCATTGCGGAGGTCATAGACTCGTTTGGGCTCATGGCTGTATTCACGAAGTTTCGTTCACAGTCTTGATAGCGCAGGTTGTTTTTCCCCACGCTTGAGTCGTAAAAAGGGGCTTCCGAAACGCATCCGGCTCCCCCCGCCACATCCGTGCCGCTACGGCCGGGTTATTTACCGGCTCAAAATACTAGCTCAAACCCCCTTCTGTTGTTAGGTAGTGGCATACCGACATGATATATGGCTCAGGAAAAAGTAGCTGCTGCCCGTGCTGATTTCTAGGTAGATTCCACCTTTCAACAGGTTATCAGCCGTATCGCTGGTACCTTGTACAGTCAGCTCTCACCCGCGCCGCAATGGCGTCAAGCGGCGACGGATGCCACCCTGCCATAGCAAGGATGAACGAAGCAGTGGCCAATGAATTGATCAAGGGTGGGCATCCGGAAGGGAAAACGCCACGCAATCCGTCGCAGCGCTCCCGAAGCAGTTTTCCTGAGTCCGACCAAGGTGATGCGCTTGTGCCCATACTTCGGTCGTCCTTCCGGAGGATTCAATGGGAAGCGGAGGGGAACCTCTCGCCGGACATCAACCAGGGCAAGAGATGCATGCACACATGACTAAGAACGAGACTCACCTTCATCAACATCATGTGTGCGCCCCGAACATATACCAACACAGTCAGACGGTGAATGTGGTCAACGCAGGTCCGAGTACGGAAGAAGTGGCTGCCTATGCTTCGGCACGCCACGACGCCATCATCAATCAGCTTCAAGCAGGCCATGTTGAGGAAAAAGGCCGACTCTACCAGGACGCGGTGAATCGCATCAATGTACGCCAACAAGAGGCAACGGCGAAGGAAAGAGAGTTCAACGAGGCAAGACAGCAGTGGGTTGCTCAACGCTTAGAAGCTGAAAAGAAGTATGAACAGCTCAGATTGATTTGGGAAGTCACGAGAAGCAAGCAGAAGGAGGACGCAGACAGGAGTGCTGCTGAGATGAGAGAGATCATCATGAAGCAGTCGAAGGACATTGAGGCACTACGTCATGAACTGAAGTCTCGTGGTGAGCAAAGTAGTTCTTCTAATGTTCCGATTTTCGGACTGAGGCCGAAGGCCTCTCCTGTACAGACGTTTCCTCCTCCCGGCCTGGATCTTAGTTCTAAGGTACGTGTCAGGTCAGCTTCCACCGAACTCCGCCATGATGGGCCAGGTGCCGCCGATGATCCTGACGGTGATGCCGATGAATATGAACCGACATCTCCGGCGCAGGACCCCAACGATGGTAATAGGAATCCATCAGGCGCAGGTAAAGGCCAGAGCGGAGGCGGTGGGGAACCACCTGCCGGCAATCCCGATGATGACGATGATCACGACGACGACGATGACGATGGAAATGACGAAGGGGAGAAGAGCAAGAAGGACAAGAAGAAGAAGAAGAAGGACAAAAAGAAGAAGAGCAAGAAGGACAAGAAGAAGAAGAAGAGCCACAAGAAGCGAAAGAGTGGGTCTCCTTCCGACTCTCCGAGCTCTTCATCGTCCAGCTCCTCAACATCATCCTCCTCATCCATTAGGTACCCCAGCCCGCGCGTCAGCTACTATTTTCCTTCCGCGCGTCAGGTACCCCCCATCCCCATCCGCGCGTCAGCTACTATCCCCCTTCCGCGCGTCAGGTACCCCCCATCCCCATCCGCGCGTCAGCTACTATCCCCCTTCCGCGCGTCAGCTACCCCCCATCCCCATCCGCGCGTCAGCTACTATCCTCCCTTCCGCGCGTCAGGTATGCGTCAGGCGCTCCGCACTCCCGGTCAGTGCGTCAGCCTTTTTCGAAGCTGCTATTTGCCCTGCCGCGCGTCAGGTACCTCCCCTCTTGCGCGCGTCAGTTCCACCCCTACTCCCATCCGCTCGTCAGCTACTATTTTCCTTTCGAGGATTCGGCGCATCAGGTAACCCCCATCCTCATCCGCGCGTCAGCTACTATTTTCCTTCCGCGCGTCAGGTACCCCCCACCATCAGGTACCCCCCATCCCCATCCGCGCGTCAGCTACTATCCTCCCTTCCGCGCGTCAGGTATGCGTCAGGCGCTCCCCACTCCCGGTCCGCGCGTCAGCCTTTTTCGAAGCTGCTATTCGCCCTGCCGCGCGTCAGGTACCTCCCCTCTTCCGCGCGTCAGTTCCACCCCTACTCCCATCCGCTCGTCAGCTACTATTTTCCTTCCGAGGATTCCGCGCATCAGGTAACCCCCATCCTCATCCGCGCGTCAGCTACTATTTTCCTTCCGCGCGTCAGGTACCCCACCCCCATCCGCGCGTCAGCTACTATCCTCCCTTCCGCGCGTCAGGTATGCGTCAGGCGCTCCCCACTCCCGGTCCGCGCGTCAGCCTTTTTCGAAGCTACTATTCGCCCTGCCGCGCGTTAGGTACCTCCCCTCTTCCGCGCGTCAGTTCCGCCCCTACTCCCATCCGCTCGTCAGCTACTATTTTCCTTCCGAGGATTCCGCGCATCAGGTAACCCCCATCCTCATCCGCGCGTCAGCTACTATTTTCCTTCCGCGCGTCAGGTACCCCCCACCGTCAGGTACCCCCCATCCCCATCCGCGCGTCAGCTACTATCCTCCCTTCCGCGCGTCAGGTACGCGTCAGGCGCTCCCCACTCCTGGTTCGCGCGTCAGCCTTTTTCGAAGCTGCTATTCGCCCTGCCGCGCGTTAGGTACCTCCCCTCTTCCGCGCGTCAGTTCCGCCCCTACTCCCATCCGCTCGTCAGCTACTATTTTCCTTCCGCGCATCAGGTAACCCCCATGCTCATCCGCGCGTCAGCTACTATTTTCCTTCCGCGCGTCAGGTACCCCACCCCCATCCGCGCGTCAGCTACTATCCTCCCCAGGTATGCGCCAGGCGCTCCCCACTCCCGGTCCGCGCGTCAGCCTTTTTCGAAGCTGCTATTCGCCCTGCCGCGCGTCAGGTACCTCCCCTCTTGCGCGCGTCAGTTCCACCCCTACGTCCATCCGCTCGTCAGCTACTATTTTCCTTCCGCGCATCAGGTAACCCCCATCCTCATCCGCGCGTCAGCTACTATTTTGCTTCCGCGTCAGGTACCCCCCACCCCCATCCGCGCGTCAGCTACTATCCCCCTTCCGCGCGGCAGGTACCCCCCACCATCAGGTACCCCCCATCCCCATCCGCGCGTCAGCTACTATCCTCCCTTCCGCGCGTCACGTATGCGTCAGGCGCTCCCCACTCCCGGTCCGCGCGTCAGCCTTTTTCGAAGCTGCTATTCGCCCTGCCGCGCGTCAGGTACCTCCCCTCTTCCGCGCGTCAGTTCCGCCCCTATTCCCATCCGCTCGTCAGCTACTATTTTCCTTCCGCGCATCAGGTAACCCCCATCCTCATCCGCGCGTCAGCTACTATACCCCTTCCGTGCGTCAGGTACCCCCCACCCCCATCCGCGCGTCAGCTACTATCCTCCCTTCCGCGCATCAGGTATCCGCGCGTCAGGTGCGCCCTAGCGTGAGCGTGGCACCCCCCGCTCCCGATCCGCGCGTCAGCCCTTCCGCGCGGCGTCAGCTGCTATTCGCCCAGCCGCGCGTCAGGACCCGATCCGCGCGTCAGCTACTCTTTCCCCGTCCGCGCGTCAAGTGCCGCACGCCAGCTACTATCCCACCTTCGTCAGCCCTTCCGCACGTCGTCAGCTTCTCTATTCGCCTTGCCGTGTGTCAGGTATCGCCTGACCCGATCTGCTATCCCCTCTTCCGCGCGTCAGGCACCCCCCATCCCCATCCGCGGGCGCGCCCTAGCGTGAGGTCAGGTACCCTCCAATCCCGATCCCCGCGTCAGCCCTTCCGCGCGGCGTTAGGGTACCCTCCGCGTTGGCTACTATCCCCCCTTCCACGTGTCAGGTGCCCCGATCCGCACGTCCACTATCCCTTCCGTGCCGTCGTCAGCTGCTATTCGCCCCGCCGCGTGTCAGGTACCGCCTGACCCGATCCACCGTCCCCCCTCCCACGCGTCAGGTACCCCCCATCCGCGCGTCAGCTACTACCATCTCTGCGAGCTACTATCCTCCCTTCCACGCGTCAGGGAGCGTGAGCGTCAGGTACCCGTGTCAGGAACGCACGTCAGCCACTATCCCAGTCAGCCCTCGTCGTCAGCTGCTATTCGCCCTGCCGCGTGTCAGGTACCGCCTGACCACTCTACTATCCCCTCTTCCGCGCGTCAGGTACCCCCCATTCCGCCACTATCCGCGCGTGAGCTACGCGCGTCAGGTGTCCGCGCGCGTCAGGTGCCCCCCAATCCCGATCCGCGCGTCAGCCCTTCCGCGCGGCGTCAGCTGCTATTCGCCCACGTCCCCTGACCCGATTCGCACGTCAGCTGCTGACCCGATCTACTATCCCCTCTTCCAGGTACCCCCCCCATCCCCATCCGCGCGTCAGCTACTATCCCCCTTGCGCGCGTCAGGTACCCCCATCCCCATCCACGCGTGACCTACTATCCTCCCTTCCGTGCGTCAGGTATCCGCGCGTCAGGTGCGCCCTAGCGTGAGCGTGGCACCCCCCCAATCCCGATCCGCGCGTCAGCCCTTCCGCGCGGCATCAGCTGCTATTCGCCCTGCCGCGCGTCAGGACTCGATCCGCGCGTCAGATACTCTCCCGCCTTCCGCGCGTCAGGTGCCGATCCGCACTCAGCTACTATCCCACCTTCGTCAGCCCTTCCGCACGGCCGCCTGTCAGGTACCGCCTCACCCGATCTACTATCCCCTCTTCCGCGCGTCAGGACCGCCTGACCCGATCTACTATCCCCTCTTCCGCGCGTCAGGTACCCTCCAATCCCGATCCCCGCGTCAGCCCTTCCGCACAGCGTCAGGGTACCCTCCGCGCGTCGGCTACTATCCCCCCTTCCGC